ACGGGAATTTCGGGGGAAAAACGGGAATTTTGTGGGAAAAACGGGAATTTCGGGAGAAAAGCGGGAATTTCAGGGGGGAAAAATGGAAATTTCGGGGGAAAAACGGGAATTTTGGGGGGGAAAAAGGGAATTTTGGGAGGAAAAATGGGAATTTTGGGGGGAAAAACGGGAATTTCAGGGGAAAAACGGGAATTTCAGGGGAAAAATGAGAATTTTGGGGGGAAAAACGGGAATTTCGGGAGAAAAATGAAAATTTCGGGGGAAAAATGGGAATTTTGGGGGGAAAAACGGGAATTTTAGGGGAAAAACGGGAATTTCAGGGGAAAAATGAGAATTTTGGGGGGAAAAACGGGAATTTCGGGAGAAAAATGGAAATTTCGGGGGAAAAATGGGAATTTTGGGGGGAAAAACGGGACTTTCAGGGGAAAAACGGGAATTTCGGGGGGGAAAACAGGAATTTCGGGGGAAAAATGGGAATTTTGGGAGGAAAACGGGAATTTCGGGGGGAAAAACGGGAATTTCAGGGGAAAAACGGGAATTTTGGGTGGAAAAATGGGAATTTCAGGGGAAAAACGGGAATTTCGGGGGAAAAACGGGAATTTCAGGGGGGAAATGGGAATTTCGGGGTGGGAGGGGCTGATCCCGAGGGGAGACCCGGGGGGGAATTCCAGAGGCAAAATTCCAGAGGCAAAATTCCCAAGGTTTTCTCCCCAGATGGAATTCCAGAGCCAATTCCGGGGAGAATTCCAGAGCCAAAATTCCCAAGGATTTTCCCCCAGGTGCAATTCCAGAGTCAAAATTCCCGAGTTTTTTCCCCCTCATGTGGAATTCCAGAGGCAAAATTCCAGAGGTAAAATTCCCGAGTTTTTCTCCTCAGGGAGAATTCCAGAGCCCAAATTCCAGAGCCAATTCCCAAAGATTTCTCCTCAGATGGAATTCCAGAGGCAAAATTCCAGGATCCCAAATTCCAAAGGGAAAATTCCAAAGGGAAAATTCCAGGACCCCCCAAATTCCAAAGGGAAAATTCCAAAGGGAAAATTCCGGGATCCCAATTCCAGTCTCCCGGCTCCCATCCCTGAGCACGATCCTGTCCCAGCTCCCGGGAATCCTCGGGAATCTCCCAGGAATCCTTGGGAATCTTCAGGAATCTCTGGGAATCTCCCAGAAATCCACGGAAATCCTTGGGAATCTCCCAGGAATCTCCCGGAATCTCCGGGAATCTCACAGAAATCCAAGGAAATCCCTGGGAATCTCCTGGAAATCCACGGAAATCCACGGGAATCCACAGGAATCCGTGGGAATCCACGGGAATATCTTGGGAATCTCCTGGAATCTCCGGGAATCCGTGGGAATCTCCAGGAAATCCACAGAAAACCTCAGGAATCCTCAGGAATCTCCCGGAATCTCCCGGAAATCCACGGAAATCCGTGGGAATCTCCCGGAATCTCCTGGGAATCCCAGGAATCTCCCAGAAATCCATGGAAATCCACGGGAATCTCCCGGAATCTCCCGGAAATCCACGGAAATCCGTGGGAATCTCCCGGAATCTCCTGGGAATCCCAGGAATCTCCCAGAAATCCATGGAAATCCACGGGAATCTCCCGGAATCTCCCAGAAATCCACGGGAATCCCTGGGAATCCATGGAAATCCATGGGAATATCTTGGGAATCTCCCGGAAATCCTCGGGAATCCTCAGGAATCCGTGGGAATCTCCTGGAATCTCCTGGAATCCCGGGAATCTCCCAGAAATCCACGGAAATCCACGGGAATCCACGGGAATCCACAGGAATCTCCCAGAAATCCATGGGAATCCATGGGAATCTCCCGGAAATCCACGGGAATCCATGGGAATCCACGGGAATATCTTGGGAATCTCCCAGAATCTTCGGGAATCCCAGGAATCTGTGGGAATCTCCCAGAAATCCATGGGAATCCACGGGAATCTCCCGGAATCTCCTGGGAATCTCCCGGAAATCCACGGGAATCTCCTGGAATCTCCCGGGAATCCCAGGAATCTCACAGAAATCCATGGAAATGCACGGAAATCCGTGGGAATCCACAGGAATCTCCCAGAAATCCACGGGAATCTCCCGGGAGTCCACGGGAATCCTCAGGAATCTCCTGGAATCTCCCAGAAATCCATGGGAATCCACGGGAATCTCCCGGAATCTCCCGGGAATCTCCCGGAAATCCACGGGGATCCGTGGGAATCCGTGGGAATCTCCCGGAATCTCCCGGAAATCTCCGGGAATCTCCCGGAATGTCCCGGGAATCCGTGGGAATCTCCCAGAAATCCATGGAAATCCATGGGAATCCTCAGGAATCTCCTGGAATCTCCCAGAAATCCACGGAAATCCACGGGAATCTCCCGGAATCTCCCGGGAATCTCCCGGAAATCCACGGGGATCCGTGGGAATCCGTGGGAATCTCTCGGAAATCTCCGGGAATCCGTGGGAATCTCTGGGAATCTCCGGGAATCTCCGGGAATCTCCGGGAATCCCGGGATCTGGCGCCGGTACCCACCCGGAGGCCGGGGGCTGCTCAGTGAAACAGCTGGGCCGGGAAAACATCGGAACATTCCGGAAAGGCGGAGACGGATCCAAGGAAAAAACGGGAGGAGAGCGGGAACGCGACCGGAAACGACGGAAAAAGAACAGAGAGAGAGAGAGAGAAAGGAAAAGAGAAAAAAAAAGAGGGAAAAGAGAGAAAATTCCAGGAAAAAGCAGGAAAAGAATCCGGGGGATTTAAAGAGGAGAAAGATCCGGGAAAAAAAATTCCCGGAATTCGCGGCCGGAAAACGCCGGGAAAAATTAAAGGGAAGGGGAAGGAGTGAAGGGATTTTGGGGATTTTTTTTTTCCCGGAATTCCTGAGCTTTTCCCGGATAATCCTGAGGGAGTTCGGGAATTCCGGGATGGGGAAATCCCAAAGGAAAAAGGCGGGAGAATTCCCGGGAATTCAGGGGTTTTTCCCTGGAAAAGGAACTCACTTGGCGAATCCGATGAAATCCTCGTGGTTGGTGTTGATGTAGGAGAGCTCGATGTCGATCAGCAGCAGGATCTGAGGGAATTCCGGGAATTCCGGGAATTCCGGGAATGGCGGGAATTCCGGGAATGGCGGGAATGCCGGGAATGGCGGGAATGGCGGGAATTCCGGGAATGGCAGGAATGGCGGGAATGGCGGGAATGGCAGGAATGCCGGGAATGGCGGGAA